CTCAGTTTTATATCTTATATATTCAATAATAATAATAATCATTATTTTATATGTAAATAAAGTGGACATTTGATAGCAGTTTCAGCTTGGAAGAATACAATTCAACTGTTTTCAATTCAAGATAATCACAATCAACCTTTTTCAAAAATGAACGAAATAACCATTGATCCTATAAAAGATATAGGCCAAAAGGCAATTATTATCATCTCTATTGTTTTAATTACTTTCATTGCCATTTTATTATTATTATCCGTCATTTATTTAATAAATTTGAAATGGTGAATTCATTATTGTTTATTATTTTATGATATATATATACAATCATGTGTATGTATATGTATGTTATCAGACTAAGGAGTATTCACAATATGGTGTAATATGGCAGATGGACTTTTTATATCCATCAGATGAGTCACATATCCTACTGGCAATGATAGTTTTCAGGTATGTGATTGATTAATCGAAGTTTAAATTCATTCATTCATTCATTCATTAATACAATATAAAACATTTTCAGTGAAATTTATAAGCAAGCAAATGTGATTATTTATAAATTTTGGGCAAATGATGAACCAGAGAAAAATATTTTAGCATATTCAAAGCTGCCATTATCAGAAGGTATATAAAAAGTAGATATATTTGTACATAAAAAAAGTTTTTATCAACACAAATAACAAAGACTATTTCTTTCACAACTGAAAAACTTTCTAAACCTTCTCTCTCCCAAAAGATTCTCCCCTTCCTTTACATCTTATACCTCTTCCTAATTATCCTGAATGCTTTTTATTAATAAATGTTAGTATATATATTCACTTATATCTATTACTATCAATAATTTACAAATTAATGCGAAAACGGTTTTTATTTTATATGATCATTTTAGGAGAATGATGTTTGTTTTCTTAATGCTAACGAAGTAATAGTTGGAAATCTTGATTTCTATAAGGAGCGATTGCCAATAGCTGATTGTAAGAAACTAAATTACAACCCATTGTTCTAGTTATTTCTGTACAATTTTTAAACGTTAAAATTATTAATAATATAAATTATTTGTTTAGCTCTTGTCACATCTTTTACAATTCCAACGAATGATGATTCTTTATCT